AAACTGTAATTGATAAAGAGGGTGAATGGACCCGTTATTAAACAATATCCCGTAAATAATACACCTGTTTATATTTCAATCCTCGAAAGAAAGAATTATATTATAAACCTTAAATTTAAATTATACAATGACAATAAAGCCAGTTGCAATATGATTCAAAAGGAAATAAAAAAGTGAGGAACTAAAAACCCACACAATAAATGAGAGCTATTCAACCCTTTTTTGAGTCCTCATCAACTCTATATAAGTATACTCTGACTTTGACTGACTCTGTCTGTCTGTTTGCCTGTCTGCCTCTCCCATTCACTGAGTTATTAATAATAATACTATCAAATGCAGTTAGCAGAACACCAAAATGACCACTTCAGTGTTTTTCCTTCTCCACACATCCGTGCGGCGCTGGTGCAGGGATACCACATGCCATTATTGTGTCGGTTGAGTCTTTTACAGTGTCTGCTCTCTTCGTAATGCAACGCCAAAAAAAAAATCCATCTCTAACTTACGTCAAATCATATTATGTAATGCTCACATTGTAAAGACAATTAATTCCTTCATGAAACACTCAAGATTAAATGTGGAAAACATATTCTTGAAATTTGATGTGAGAATCTCGTGGCAGCTCTAGATGTAGCTTCGTGCCAATTCATTGATATAATTTCTTCATTATTTAAGCAAATATAATAATATTTGGAAACTTGTCATGATCTTAAATAACGATGAATAGTTTATTATTAACAGTATATGTGTGACGTATTTTTTATGTGCGATATATTGTACAGTATAGCCTCAAGATCCAGGCACATGGCATCATAGCCAAGATTTTGAAGTGGATTTACAACTAGGTCGAAGTCTGGCAAAAAGGTTAGCAATAACCGGAGTACTTTTAGAAAGGAAAACGATTCTCAGTGGAGTACCACAAGGTTCTGTCATTGAAACTCACCTTGTTTGTGATCAACATAAACGACATAGATTATAATGTATCGAGCCACTTTGTCACGTTTGCAGACGACACTAAGATATTTTAGAAGATAATAAGTCAAAATGATGTTGCAACAATGCAGAAAGATTTGCATGAGCTGTTCAAATAGTCTCGAGACTGGTAAATGTACTTTGACATGAAATGTAAGACTGCATGTCGGATACAACAGCCCTAATCACAAATATTATATTAATGATACTTTCATAATTACTGTTGACACTTAAAAATATCTAGGCGTTTTGATAAATGCGTCACTAAAGGCAGAGCAACAAGTGGGAGCGGAAGAGAAAAAACAAAACAAAATAAAAACGAGATTTAGGAATTATAAAACAGAGATGGGAACAGTATCAACTCGAGTATCCAAGTAGACTGAGAACCTTAGGACTAATAACTCTTAAGACAAAACACAATAGGACAGACACCAAAGAAACATTCAAATTCTTGAAACGGATGGAAAACTTGCTCCCAGGCCATTTTTTTCCAAGCATCACCAACACGAGAGGACGTAACTTCAAGTTTACCAGTTATCATGCAGAGCGAACGTAGGGAAATACTTCTTCAGACAGAGGGTGATAGATATATGAAAGAGTCTATCAGCTCAAGCTGTGGAATCGAGAACAGTACTGGGCTTCAAAATAGCCTTTGATAAAACTGTCTGGAACAATGAAGGAATCCTACACAGGCCACTGGCTTCCTTCCCTCAACATGGCCTCCTTCTCAGGTAAATAACTCAGAGGTTTTTCCCTAGTCTGAATTGATAAGGAAAAGTTAAGAATACACAAGTGAACCAGTTAGTCGGTGGGAAAGTCCGACACTGAAAATCTCACTAAGTAGCCTCATTACTGAATGGGTGAGGAGAAGGGAATCTCACGTACAAACAAAAGTTTAATGTAACGAAAATTTAAATCAGATATATACAAAATTAATGAACAGTGTAGTAAAAGGAATGACATTTGTAATAATTATTAACCCCAGATAGAATAGACATGGGATATCAGAAGAGTAGGGACTAGGACTCCGTGAGTGAACACTAGTCACCTGGTTATAATGCAAGATAAGATAGGCCAGATTAGACGTGAGACAAATTAGAAACCTAGATAACAAGACGAATTATGAAGACATTTGGTTAAGATACAATGTAAGGAATTTAGGAATTTAGGAATCTAGGGTAACACGACACGGCCTTTAATCATTTCAGATGCAATATAAACCACGGTCGACTCTAGACACGTTAGCAACCTAGATAATAAGGGAAATACATTGTAACATTGACTATTAATTTAAACTACACGAAGATACTATTTACTAATATTTAGACTACCTTCTCGGACACTTAGTTCACGACATTGGCATGGGTGGGTGAGTGGCTGCCTCAGGTATAGAAGGTGGTGCCTAGCACACTATATAATGATGGGAAGTTACATATAACCGAAAGGTGTGATAATTGTATTTGCGTGATTTATTGTTGACGTGTGATGCATATCTTTATTTTTCTTATATTCGCCACTTATCAACTTACTAGCCGTTTGGGCGGTTTATCCAGTGTTAGTACAGGAGGAAACCGGGAACCGGGAAACCTGTGGTGTTTCTAAGGGTCATACTGGTTAACACCGTTCTCACGTGTGTCCGGGCCGAGGCTCAAACCCTTGACATATTGGTGAGAGTTTAGCGCGCTTCCGCTGTACCAAAGTTGAATTGTGAATGGCAGATGTATTGTTGATGACAGATGTAGTTTATACGACAGATTTATTGTGACTGACAGAGGTATGTTGTTGACATGTATTTTATATGATATAATGGCGACCTGTGGTGTAATGGTCAGCATGCTCGCTTCTCAAGCGAGTAGACCCGGGTTCGATCCCCGGGCAGGGTGAAACTATGGGCAAGTTTCTTTACGCCATTGCCTCTGTCTACCCAGTAGTAATTGGGGACCAATGTTAATCGATTTGCAGATCGTATTCCGGGGTAATGGTTAGCCAGTGCAGTTGGCGAACTGTCCGGTATTCTCGGACTATTCCTTGACACTGGGTCATGCAGCTCGTTAACTCAGGGTGCGGATGTTGTGTCGATGACAGCTTCTACACCTTAAACAAATTCACGCCTTGGTGGCAACCATCCTCGTTACATGAGGGACAACCATGTATTGTTGAGGTCGGATGTATTGTATATGACTGATGTATTGGGAAAGATAGGTGTATTATATAGTATGTGATTGAAGTATTGCCCAAGACATGATTTTATCCGAGGCAAGAAGGGATGTACAGTTGTTCACAGGTTCTAGTGCTCCACCCCCCGGTGGTCTTTCCGAACATGTGGCTCCTTCGGAATCATAGTTAAATCTTTCCAGATTTTACATCTATCATATCGCTTAGCACAAATCTCGAGCACAAATATTACTGAAAAAATAAATATATTGTTAGCTACATGTTCGGAAAGGCTACAGAGTGGTAGGCAACCGCACCTTTCGTTCAACAACCTCTTTTTATTCCATGAAGTTGTTCATGTAGGTTCAGCATAAAGCGGCCCACTCACGTTCGATATTATTGATTCAATATTTGATATTGACAATATTATTGATCGTGTGTGGGTGATATTGGAGATTTGCGCAATATATTAAAGAAATCAAAAAGATTTTATTTTTATTGAAGGGATCTCAATAATATTGAGTGGCTGATGGCAATAACGATTATATTGAGCATTATTTCGTTAGTCGGTGTCGGGGGCCAACCGGTAAACATGCCGGGTCCGACAAGAGGTTCATCCTGGAATGTATACAGCTATATCGTGAACTCCCCGCTCTGTGGAAGATGTCATTATTATCAATGCCCATTGTTATACTAATTTACTTGGTCATTGATCTTAGGAAATTATTAATGTGGTGTTGCGTGCAACACCTATACATTTCCATAATGTATGCATCCTCAAAATATATATTTTTTTTATTTATGCAATATTTGTATCCATCCCCATATATAATCTTTGAGACACTGTATTTTAGCTCACAGGTTTCTAATACAGTACAATTTGGTGATATAGCACTTAGGAATTTCAGGTCCTCATATGTGTTCCCAGTGGCCAGGTACCGCAGAGTTAATGATAGCCTCTGACTTGGAGGAATAGCTTCTCGCATTGCTGTATTTTGTTTTTCATTGAGTGGTGTAACCATCTGCAATAACTTGTCGAAACATTCTCCATCCATTCGCAGGAAATTCTTGTAGTCGGCTGGCTCATTGCATCGCAGTTCAAATAAAGATTCTCATGAGTGTAATGATTCCTTTACCTCAGCCTTTGTTTTTCCAAACATCTCCGTTTGTGCCTTGTCTTCTATCCTTGCCTAGCGAAACTGCGAGAACAAGAGCTATACAAGCGGCACTGTCAGTATTCATGGTTGGTGATCCAGAACCTCATGCGTCAACGACCATACCCGGAGACCGCAAATGACCATTGAACAATATTATTACACCGTTAGTGGCAGACGGATTTTGACTAATTATTGCTGTCAATATAATATGCAAGTTTTAATGTTCGTGTATGGGCCGCTTAACACTGAGAAAATCAACTAGATTTAGTGTGGACAACGAGAGCTCTTCCTGGTGGACACTTGTTATAGCCGCCCGGGTAACGAGAAGTCGGAGGGTGTTAAATGGATCTGATCCCGCCAAGTCCCTTCCTCAGAGCGCGCGGTGATAAGCAAAAGGGAAGAGAAGGGTAGAACTGGATTGACCACACCTTTTAATTGTTGGGTTTTCACCTGTACAAGCACTGATGAGTGTTAGTAAGGATACTATTGTTGTTACATCTGCTAGTCTTGAAGGAGTGGCAGCTTGTGTCGGTGACGCTTAGGCTTATTTTTTTTTAGTAACTATTGTGTTATGAACTGAAGTAAGAATCTCTTGCTCTATCATCACTAGTCATTATGAAAGCATTACTCTGCCGTAGTTTACAAAGTTTCATCAACTTTTTGTCGTGTTTGGAAAGTCTGAGAGTAAGGAAAATATTCTACGTAAAGGATACCTTTAGGGCAGTTTGGGGTAGTTTTTATTAAACGAAAAATTTCAATAAAGTATATTAATAAACTAATATTATTTTGTTAACTATTCATAGCTCATGAACACAGATATATCTTACAAGACTTAAGGTACACCTTCAGTGTTTTATGAATTAATACTCGAAAGAGATGTTTTAACCACCCAAGGGATGACAAGACTATATCCACTAACCCCCTTACCTACGGGGACATCATTTATAATATTGTATTTGGCCAATGTCAGAAGATTTTATTCAGTACAGAGAGGAACCCGTACACAGCGGATTAAGACACCTTAGTAACTCCCATTTGTCACCGTCAACTACCACCTGTGTCACTGCCAACTACTACCTGTGTCACTGCCAACTACTACCTGTGTCACTGTCAACTACCACATTTGTCACCGTCAACTACCACCTGTGTCACTGTCAATTACCACCTTGGTCACTGTCAACTACCACCTGTGTTACCGTCAACTACCACCTGCGTCACTGTCAATTATTAATTGTGTCACTCCTGTGTCACTGTCAACTACCACCAGTGTCACTGTCAACTACTACCTGTGTAACTGTCAAACACTACCTGTGTCATTGTCAACTACCACCTGTTTTACTGTCAGCTACAACCTGTGTCACTGTCAACTACCACCCGTGTCACTGTCAACTACCACCTGTGTCACTGTCAACTACCACCTGTGTCACTGTCAACTACCACCCGTGTCACTGTCAACTACCACCCGTGTCACTGTCAACTACCACCCGTGTCACTGTCAACTACCACCTGCGTCACTGTCAACTACCACCTGTGTCACTGTCAACTACCACTTGTGGCACTATTAACTACCACCTGTCTGTCAACTACCTGTGTCACTGTTAACTACCACCTGTGTCACTGTCAGCTACCACCTGTGTCATTGTCAACTACCACCCGTGTCACTGTCAACTACCACCTGTGTCTGTCAACTACCACCTGTCGTGCTACCACCCGTGTCAACTACCACCCGTGTCACTGTCAACTACCACCCGTGTCACTGTCAACTACCACCTGCGTCACTGTCAACTACCACCCGTGTCACTGTCAACTACCACCCGTGTCACTGTCAACTACCACCCGTGTCACTGTCAACTACCACCTGCGTCACTGTCAACTGCCACCCGTGTCACTGTCAACTACCACCTGTATCATTGTCAACTACCACTTGTGGAACTGTTAACTACTACCTGTGGCAGTATTAACTACCACTTGTGGAACTGTTAACTACTACTACCTGTGGTTCTATTAACTACCACTTGTGGAACTATTAACTACTACCTGTGGTACCAGTAACTACCGCTTATTAAACTGTTAACTACCGCTTGTTGAACTGTTAACCACCGCTTGTTGAACTGTTAACTACTACCTGTGGCACTTTTAACTAACACTTGTGGAACTGTTAACTACCACTTGTTGAACTGTTAACTACCGCTTGTGTAAATGTTAACTACCGCTTGTTGAACAGTTAACTACTACCTGTGGCACTATTAACTAACACTTGTGGAACTGTTAACTACCACTTGTGGAACTGTTAACTACCGCCGGAGGCATTATTAACTACCACTTTTGGTACTGTTAACTACTACCTGAGGCACTATTAACTAACCCTTGTGGAACTGTTAACTACCACTTGTGGAACTATTAAGTACTACCTGTGGTACCATTAACTACCGCTTATTGAACTGTTAACTACCGCTTGTTGAAATGTTAACTACCGCGTGTTGAACTGTTAACTACTACCTGTGGCACTATCGTATGCCATCCTGGGACATTGTCATCTACCACCCGTGGTACGTAATGGACTCATCATTATTTTTATACTTTGTAAAATACTGCACTTACGTGTCTTATCATGCACTAATATAACGTCTCCAATAAATCAAAACAAACTTTTTAACCTAAGCTAAAATAAATTGAGCTAAGCTAGCCTAACCTAAATTAACCTAACCTATTCTCATAATACATATTTTATACAATAATTTTGTAAACATAACCAGTGATTGTGTACAGTACATTAGTGGTGCTACCTCTTGTGTCGACAACATTGTTTCCAATACGTCTAGCTGGTAATGACCCATTGCTCTTAACTACATACTTATGTCAATTACCATGTATCTATTATTATATTCTGGTTAGTTCAGTTAATTCTATTGCATCATTCATCTTCCCCAAAATTGTCTTTCTGTTCTTAAGCCTAGCGACTGAAGAAGCGATATTTCACAAAATTGAACGTCTCTATGATGTCCAGAACTTGCCATTAGTCTCTTCCAAGGCTTATAACACCGAGTTACCTCTCTCTGAATAAATCTTTCTCTTTCACCCTACACGTACACTATTCCTCAGTCTAAAAAGACCTCCTTTTTCACACGTAATTTCTTTCTCTCACATCATTCTGTTTCAGTGTCTGTTTGTCTATTTTTTTTCTGTCGCTGCGCTATTTCAGATCGTCTATTTATACTGTTATTTTTCTCACCCACAACTAGTTATTTCAATGATTCACATTTCATTTCATATTAAACACAATACAATTTCAGCTTCCCTCCTCCCCATAACCTCAGCTTCAGTGTTCACCGTTCTCCGGTAGCTCCAACTCCTCACAGTTTCATCTTTTCTTTTTCGTCCATGGACAGAGTGTCAGTGGAAGTCGATAGTTCGCCGGCAAAGTAGTGGATAAACTCGCTAAACACAGTCTGCTCCATGTTCTTACCGAGGCTGTACACAAGGAACCAGTCGCTGAGAGAAGACATTTTCATCACCACGGTGACGTCGCGACTCATCTCATGATTTACACGAGTCTGCAACACACCAGAGAACAAATCAATACACGCCACAATTTTGTTACTTAAGAATGAAAGTGTTCACGTCACCAGTGTTCATAGCTAACGTAAAACCATGGAAATGAGCGACATTAGTTCAATTAAATGGTATAAGCAATGTTAGGTAAGGTTTCATTAGGCTTTGTTACAATTTACGAGTACTAGATGAGCGTTAGGCTGGACATATGTAAGGTTTAGATGCTTTTGTTAGTTATGCTTTAGTTATATTAAGTTAGGAGGGGTAATATTAGGCAAAGTTCATTTTGGTTATAGTTGGTTACGTTAGATAATATTAGATTGGATTTTATTAAAATAACTAATCAGTAATCAGTGCATCTTAACTGATTCCTACATGCAATGAAGTAAAATATTAATCGAAAACAACATTTATGTTTCGAATTGCAACATGCAAAAGCAGCTATGAGACACAGTGGAACCAATACTAAACCCACCTTCAGGAGGAAATGTCTGAAGAAGGGGAACAGAATAGTGAGGAGGCGGTAGATTAAAAATGCCGAGGTAAGGGTCGTCAACATTACCAACCACACCCAGAGGAAGACGTAGATCTATTCGGGGAGAGAAATGCACACAATCAATATATTACCAGGTATGACTCTACCAATATTTTGCAAAGAAAATGGAAGAGAGTATATGGTGGTGTAAGTTGTAATAGTGATATTCGTGGTTATAAAAGTAATGGTAGGAATAGTAATAGTAGTGGTAGTAGTAGCAGTAGTAATGGCTGAAACAGTAAGTAAAAGAGTTGTGACCGACCTTCTCGTTGATGATGTTGGTGGCGATGAGGCACATGACATCTCGCACTTGGATGGTCCCTGAAGAACCAAAGCTCTTGAAGGTGCACTTGGCCATCCTGGGGAACACGTACGACATCGGGTCTGTACGGTTCTCAGGGTCCAACCCGATCACTTCCATTACCTGGTCACAATCATAGGTTATGGTGTGATGTACCTCGTCACAATCATAGGTTATGGTGTGATGTACCTGGTCACAATCATAGGTTATAGTGTGATGTACCTGGTCACAATCATAGGTTATAGTGGGATGCACCTGTCTACAATCATAGGTTATAATGTGATGCCTGGCCACAGTCGGAAACCACAATTTCTAGCCCACCCAGGTCGGGCTGGAGTAGAGGACCGGGTCCTTTTTGACCTGTAGGCCATGCAAACTATCACGGAGCAGCACGCGACGAACACACAAGTTATGAACCCTTCGAGGCTTCGTTATCAGTCTGTCATGTTATACTCATCTTGCTATGTATAATGGTAAGCAGTCATAGTATGGATACATAGATGACAATATGTATTGGTATATTGCATTTTATACCCTTCAAATATCTTTGTAAGTCCTGGAAATGAAGGAAACCTCTCATAGATTGTAATTTCGAAAGTAAGATTCGAACGAAGCAACTCCAAACCAGCCAACGCACAAGTGAGACAAGAGAGGTAACTTACTCTGTAATGCCATGTGTGTGTGTGTGTGTGTGTGTGTGTGTGTGTGTGTGTAACATAATGCTTCATCCTTAGTATTTAAGATGCTTCATAAAAATATTTATCCATTTATCGTCCGAGATAGCTCTCCCGTACGTCGTTTTGAGCAGAGTGCCGGAACACAATATTTCCACCACACCCAACCTTTACCCTCATTTCCCTTCTTCCGTGTATCTATATCCAAATGCCTGTGTGATTGCTTTTCACCCATTTATTTACCCAAACTATATGTAAATGTGGATCAATTACTCGTCATTTCACACACACACACACACATGCACAAAGAGCATCAAGATTGTTTTGTAGGCATGACTGTTGGTTAAATGAAACCACAAAAATATTTTATCAAATTATGTATAAACATGTATCTATTGTAAACATTACAATTGTCCATAACATTTAAAACATGTGTGAAATAAGTAGGAAAGCGATTTTGGTGTGCGGCTACATGTCCTGCAACACTTACTGTATATGTGGAGTGTAGTAAAGAACAAATATGAGGTTATATAAAACACTTTTGTCGAATTATATCCACCTTTGTATATCTAAAATATATAGATTAGATTATATACGGTATATTTAGCTCTTGTCAAGCAATACAGCGAAGAAACCATACGACTTACCCTTTGACCAACTGTGTCCACACTAACGGCAGGCCTTCCCAGAAGTTTCCCTACACACGACTTCAGGTCGGGCATCGCTGTGTGATTCGCTCACCTACTGTATATGGCGGTGCTTCGGATCTTAATTTCTTAACTATAGTGTGTGTGAGACTTTTCCTTCCTGTCCAATGTTAATGACGATATTTTGAAGGGTATAAAATGCAATATACTAATACATATTATCATCTAAGCATACATTCTATGACTGCTTACCATTATACATATCAAGATGAATATAACATGACAGACTGATAGCGAAGCCTCGAAGGGTTCATAACTTGTGTGTTCGTGCGCGTGTTGCTCCGTGAAAGTTAGTTTGGCCCGCCGTTCAGAAAGGACCCGGTCCTCAACTCATTGCCCAACGTGAGTGGGCTAGAAATTGTGGTTTCCGAGTGTACCTAGCTACAATCATAGGGAATAGAGTGTAATGTACCCGGTCACAATCATAGGTTATAGTGTGATGTACCTGGTCACAATCATCGGTTATTGTGGGGTGTACCTGGTCACAATCATTGGTTATAGTGGGATGTGCCTGGTCACATTCATAGGTTATAGTGTGACGTACCTGGTCACAATCATAGATTATAGTGTGATGTACCTGGTCACAATCATAGGTTATAGTGAGAAGTATCTGACCACAATCATAGGTTATAGTGTGATGTACCTGGTCACAATCATAGGTTATAGTGAGAAGTATCTGGCCACAATCATAGGTTATAGTGTGATGTACCTGGTCACAATCATAGGTTATAGTGAGAAGTATCTGGTCACAATCATAGGTTATAGTGTGATAAACCTGGTCACAATCATAGGTTATAGTGAGAAGTATCTGGCCACAATCATAGGTAATAGTGTGATTTACCTCGTCACAATCATAGGTTATAGTGTGATGTACCTGGTCACAATTATAAATTATAGTGAGAAGTATCTGGCCACAATCATAGGTTATAGTGGGGTGTACCTGGTCACAATCAATGTTTATAGTGTGATGTACCTGGTCACAATCATTAATTATAGTAGGAAGTATCTGGTCACAATCATAGGTTATAGTGGGAAGTATCTGGCCACAATCATAGGTTATAGTGGGATGTACCTGGTCACAATCATAGGTCATAGTGTGATGTACCTGGTCACAATCATAAATTATTGTGGGAAGTATCTGGTCACAATCATTGGTTATAGTGGGATGTACCTGGTCACAATCATAGGTTATAGTAGGAAGTATCTGGTCACAATCATAAGTTATAGTGGGATGTACTGTACCTGGTCACAATCATAGGATATAGTGTGATGTACTGTACCTGGGCATAGATATAGATTCAGGTGTAAATCAGATAAGCGATATGTGTTGACCTACAGAAAGATAAGGCATGAAACAGAAATTCTTGTTACCAGAGTAAGACAATAAAATGTTGACCGGTAAATGATCTGAAGTGTTTTGTTTAGAAAATGTTCAATGTAACTTATCTGTACAGAACATCACTAATACCAGTACAGTTTTTTAATAACTGCATAATAAAATCTTAGCCATCATAACTAATTTAAAACACCGGGGGAGTTAGTTAATATGTAAACAATGGGTAACATGAACGGTTGTATAAAACCAGACATATGTATGACTCACATCAGCGCCGTACGTTAGGAACTCGCCGCCAAGGAACCAGTTAGTAAAGAAAAGAGTTGCCACGGCGACGCCTAGGTTGAGGAACTCACACACGAAGAACGAATACGCCCACTTCTTATGGGCGTCCATGTGGTGGTAGATGTACTTGGACAATACTTCAAACCTATCAGTATTTTTTGTTTTTAATATTTGTCAACGAAACACATTAAAACTTTTTTTATGCTGATTAATATGATTATCTAACTCTAAACTGCATAATGATAAGATTGAAACAAGCAATATTCCATACAAGTAATAACATGTTGCCAACGTCTTGCTCACTTTTTTTCGCGACTGAAGTAGGTCTTAAGGTCTGAGCCAAGGTAGTCGCGGATGGAGAGATCCTGGATAACCTGCCTAAAGAGGCCGCCCTCCCTGCCCTTCCACAGCCAGTGAGGTACGTAGAACATCACACCCTGTAGACGATAAAACACGACAGAGTGACTTGTAGAATTATAATGGAAAATGACAATACGAAAACTGGTGAGAATATTGTTTGTTGTACAATGAACAACGTTTTACGCCTCTATTTCTGTTATCTATGTTGTCCTTAATAACGTCAAAATATGGCCACCAAACTGGTGGTGGCACTTAAAGCACCTAACATACCAAGAGAGATTAGAAAACTTTCAATTGACAAGTGTATACTATAGAGGTTCTAGCACAACTACCCCTTGGACAATTGCCCCCTCCCCCACGACAGCTGCCCCCGGACAACTGCCCCTATAGGACAATTACCCCCCGGGCAACTGCCCCCATTGCCAGTGAATCTGTACTGACATTTACTGTACTTTTCATTGAGAAAATAATAAAACTTGGAACTGACTGAATACAGAGGAACAAAAAACACTAAGAATTTATGTTATATTTTCTTGTTTTATTTGTTATGTATAATAGTAATTATATACACAATATGTACAAATCACACAAGTATTAATTTTTAACACTATAACCATGCAAGAAACTAAAATTAGTAAAACACTAATAATATTTGTGGATAAGTGGCTAAAATTCTGGATCAGCCAAATCAATATTTATAAATGCTTTGTCATATACCACGCACTAAAATTGCAAGTACTTGCAATATATGTTTTGTGTTAAGTGGTAGAAACATCCTTTGACAGCTGTGTTGGGGAAGACCTCTTCAATGAGACTCCTGGCAGCTTCTCCCAAATCGATGAGAAAGGTCTTTTGATTGAGTAATTATTAGTACAGATTCACAGGCAATGGGAGCAATTGTCCGGGGGCAGTTGTCGAGGGGCAATTATCCTGATACCTACTATAGAAAGGCAAGAGGTGCTTATTTAAGGTTTATAACCACCTCAATGTACATTGCTCAGCCAATTGTTCATATCTGGAGCTAACGAATTTCTACAGTCTCAACTTAAAAAAACACAAGTGCAGTAAGAGTTGTGACTTCTTGAAATAACCAGTCAGATAATGTAAGGAGAACATTGAGTGTTAGTTCATTTCAAACCAGACATGACCAACATTAACCCGTACGTGACCAGTAGTTGCCAACAGTGTGTAACAGAGGGCCAATTGCAAGATCAGCCGTGGTGTATAACACGCTGTGGTATCCCGGCGGTCGTAATACAATGGAGTGAAAATTGAGTGATTTTTCAAGATGGGCCATGGTAGTACCCTACCGTTGTTTGTTGTTACTACGTCATCGTAGTGTACTCAGGTGTACCAACTGGCGGAAGACTTGGGGGTTGGTATGCTTGCACCTTCAAAACGTTGTCAGTGGCATGAAACGTTTACTCTTGCTACATGATTTACGAGCAAGAAAAACTTGAATCCCAAGCTAAGGTGCACCTCATTTTATTATTTTCTTGGATTATAAGCCAATTCTGGGAATGAAATACGATAATTTACAGTGAATATAGGAAAGTATAGCCTGTGACAACCATAAAAACGTAGGAATGGAGTGTAATATCTGTTCCTTTCTTCTTTATCCTTATTAAATCTAACAATAAAGTAATAAGTTTGTCACGAACTTGCGGTTGGGTGAGTGTAAATACAGTGAACTATGGCCTGTTCTGTGGATGAAGTCAGTAGAGTATAACAAAGTACAGTATTAGGTATTATAATTTTGCTATGACAGTGGTGAGCTCACTGTACAGATGAATTGGGTTAAAATCTTGAAAAAATATCACCATAACTGTTAGTTTTCTATCAAACAGGAAATTATCTTTGTCCCAAAAATTTTTACTTTCATATTATGCAAGTATAAAGGCCAGTTATCTACAAGATATGAAAACTTGAGACAATGTTTCCTACTTGTTTCCACCTGATTATAGTAATGCAATAAATACCCTTTGAAAGAAAGCAAGATATGAACACTTTCCCAATGTCAGGAGTAAAAATGTATACAATATGTTAATGACATGGACTAAACCACCACTTGGAGAAAAGTATCTGCTGTTTAAATGGTCTTTTATTTGGAAAAACATTCCATGTAAATACTGTATATGGATCCTCACCAGATAGTCTTCATATAGTTAGTGTGCTGACATTTGTTTACAAGGCATATACTTACAACTATAATGGAAAGGAAGACATATTAGGTAAGGTTAGATTAGGTTCATCGTGTGAGGAAATGTCATGGAACCCATATACAGTAGGTAGATTCATGAAATTTTACCAACTAATCAGAGACTAATAATGTTAAACATAGAGCAAGATGATAATTAAATGGTTTAAAAATATCCTCAATGGAGTCTGCAATGTTAATTGTAAATTATTCCTGCATTCTTTAATGTTTAATATAAACTGTAATAAAAATAACGTTACGAATACAATGATAATGCTTATGTCAGAATATAGCCTTTATTAATAGCAGGATATGTTATAATATATGGATGATCAGAGTAAAGTATTTAAAAAAAAAAATCATCCACATATTTCACAAATATATTAGTACGTAATATCCATGTATGTATGCAGAGTGTAAAATAAAAAATAAATAAAATAATTAAGGCATACAGTATGTTATGATTTCTCCCAGGCATATTTTCTGAAAATTCCAGAAACTGCATTTTTTTCTGGTCTATGAGTAATTTGGGGATGTTACGGAAAATCTCCAATTTTTTATGTTCCGAGTTTGGGAACCAATTCCAAGGTTTGGTTAGGTAGCAAATTAAAAAATCTTCCCTGGAACCGGAAAAATTCTCCATCAATCATGATACCAAGATTTATTTCTTCAGTATTGGTGAAAGGTGAATAGTCAGCTGTATCTCCACCTTTAAGTGAAAATAAAGTCATTAATATTGTGTCAGCTAAATTTGCGAATTCTGAAACGTCTATATTTATGAGGGTTAATATTTATAAGTTTCCAACATCTAAATATTGAGCGTAATTTTGTCTGTTATAAAAAAATAGAATTAAAAATTCCAATGGAAACTCAGATTTGTTTGGTTTGATATGCAACACACTCAAAAAATAATGTTTTTCTCTAATGTAGATTTTTATGGAGATTCCAAAACTTTGATCCCTTTCTTCTGGAGAAATTCATAGAAAAAAATTATAAGCCCTTTAAAATTTTAATGTTCTACATCAAAATGTTAACCTAGCCTACCTGACTTAACCTAACTGGAAAACATCGGTCAATTTAAAATCCTAAAAATCCCTGGATGACCGAAAAGCTAATAAGACCTTCAATTTAATTTATTTTGGAACACATTATTCATTTTTGTTGGAATCATGGACATACAAAGCCACTATATCTGCACTTGATTCTACCAGTGTCAACGGCAAAGTGAATTATTACCGCCACTCCAAATGTTGCACAAAAAGTGGTAAAGTAATTCTTTCTTGCAATACATTGAGTCACTTCGGGAATTGAAAAAAGAACATGAATTTATGTCACTGAATTTATTTTATTAGTGACAAATTGTGGTTAAGTTGATACACAAATGAAACATGCCTGGGAACAACCTGGCACTGGTTACCAGGCATATTAGGACGTAATAAAATATGAAATTTAGGCTACTAAGTATTTATACTAATGAAATAATTATTTTGGTAGTGGTGGACAGTTATTAATTGCGCTCATTACGAAAATTGGGTCGAAATTATTTCTGATAAGGGACGTCATTCACCATATCCAGATGGAGCAGTTCTCACCACTCTTCAAATAGACCACTTACGACTTTTTTTAGCTTAATTTGATTTCCATACATTTCTACACATAAATTATTTGGATTAGTTATCGTAAAGGCTTACCTTTTATGATGGTTAGGAGAATGTGGAGGATACAACCGGCGATGAGGCAAGTAAAGGCTGACGGATGTTCCTAAACAAACATGGAATTCTTTTAAAAAGAACACTAAAATTCTTCATGTGCTGTTCTATATGGAGGATATCTTATAAAAATATTTTTTCTTTTCAGATTTATGCAATTAATGTGCATCCAATTGTATTTCTTTTCTTTTGGTTTCAAAATATAGTTCCATAATAGTGGTCATCGGGCAGGCGTACGAGTACCACGGAAATCTCCCACGTTCCAATAACGAATCGTAGATTTTTTTTTTTTTTAGCCCAGAGAGCTTATTGTAAACCGACCATGGGGCTACCACAGCATGGTGTACACCACGGATGTTCTTGCAATTGGCCCAAAGAACTGACCGATCGCCCGACCAGTTAATTGGCCGACCAAAGGCGAAGAGGGTAAAGTAAAAAGAAAACGGAAGCTGAATGATCTACCTGGACGAAGAGGACGAAGGGTACCCACTGGTAGTAGGTGTGGTAAGTGATAGATTCACCAGGTTGCTGGGGACCTACGCCGGGATGGGGCACTTCTAGTCCCACCTTAACACCGTGAAGACGATCCACTGTGAACGTGCCCATGATGAAGCAGTAGCTGTTGACCATTTCCTTAAAAGCATCCGAATCCACTCCAGTCATACATTCAATTTTATTACCTGTAAATACAGTAATTATAATGTATATTAGGCTTCTGTAGCATAGTGTGAAGAACTCATTTCCTACAAAAAATGGTAACCAGTTGTGTTGTGTTATCATGTACTGTACCAATGTGATGACATGCACCACCTCACATGTACAGTTTGGTGACCTGCACCACCTCACATGTACAGTGTGATGACCTGCACCACCTCTCATCTTCCAGTGTGATGGCATGCACCACCATACATGTACGGTGTGATGACCTGCACCACATCACAAGTATTAGTGTGATGACATGTGTAATGATTGATTGTCAGACCGAAGCTTAAAGCCCAGAATTATGTCACATATAACAGCAGGTACACTACAGACCTCGTGGTACCACCACATTCCGGGTTGACACACCTCAGGTCGACCCTAGGGACTTGACCTCGCCCGCTAATAAGAACATAAGAACATAAGAAAATAAGGAGTCTGCAATAGGCCGGTTGGCCTGTGCATGGCAGCTCCTGTCGAGAGTTACTACCACTCTCTATCATCCATGAATCTATCTAGCCTCCTTTTGAAACTTTCCAGAGTTCCCGCACTTACTACAAAGTTGCTAAGCTTGTTCCACTCGTCCACCACCCTATTTGTGAACCAGTTTCTTCCTATCTCCCTCCTAAACCTAAACTTATCCAACTTGAATCCGTTGCTCCGAGTCCTATCCTGCTCGGATATTAAAAGAACTTTATCTATATCCCCTTTATTGATTCCTTTCACCCACTTAAATACTTCTATCATATCTCCCCGCACTCTTCGTCTTTCTAGGGAATGCAAGTTAAGTTTCTTTAACCTATCCTGATATGGAAGGTTTCTAAGTCCCTGAATCATTTTTGTCATTCTTCGCTGCACCGACTCTAGTGAATTTATATCCATTCTATAATAGGGGCACCAGAACTGAACCGCATAATCGAGGTGCGGCCTAACTAGCGCAAGATATAGTTGCAATAAGACCTCTGCACTCTTGTTACTTACACTTCTAGATATAAAACCCAATACTCTGTTTGCCTTATTTCGAACATTAACGCACTGTTTTCTAGGCCGTAGGTCCGGGCTTACAAGTACCCCTAGGTCTCTTTCACAAGTCGACTTCTCTAGGTTGATGTTGCTCAGGCTGTATACATTATAAGTATTTGTTCTTCCAATATTAAGTACGCTGCACTTGCTGGTGTTGAATTTCATTTGCCATTTTTCAGACCACCCCTGCAGTTTATTTAGATCCTCCTGTAATGCATTTGCATCCTGCCCTGAATTAATTTGCCGCCCTATTTTGGTGTCATCCGCAAACTTGCTTATGTCACTGCTGATCCCAGTATCTAAATCGTTTATGTAGATTATGAACAAGAGTGGGCCTAGTACTGACCCCTGGGGAACCCCACTGGTTACACGGCCCCACTCAGATTTAACACCATCTACGCTGACCCTCTGCGTTCTATCGGTGAGCCATGATTTTATCCAATTTAAAACTTTCCCCTCGATACCAGGAGCCTGAATTTTTCTCAGAAGCCTCTGATGCGGTACTCTGTCAAATGCTTTGCTAAAGTCTAAGTAAATAACATCGTAATTTTCGTCATTATCTACTACCTCGAAGACTTTCCTAAAAAACATTAGCAGATTTGTTAGACAAGATTTTCCCTTTGTAAACCCAGTTTAGTGTTAATTGGCGGAGGTCAAAACGCCGGCTGTTCCTCCCCCATATAAAGGCCCTGCAGACCCGTCCACGGGGTTAATCTGGTCATACTGATTCTCATTCTGGTTGCTGTCATCTCTCTCCCGTTCGGGTCGTCACTCGGTTCACTAAGCAGAATCACGCACGTCCCCTCCCCAGGTCGGGAGGGAGACTTCCCGACCAGACCACGGCATCGCCAGCTAAGCAGATTCTCCCATAGGAGGCAGCCTAGCCAGCACTCACTGGGCCTACGTCAGGGTACACGTGAGTCTTGTCAGAACGATTCCTAGGGTGACTTAAAGGTCTACTACGTGAACAGTAGAAGCATGAGAAACAAAATGGATGATATTAGGGCCTTGGTATGTACCGAAAAAATCGATATAATAGCATTCACTGAAACATGGATCAACCTAGACTCACGCGAGTTGCCGGTCGAATACCAAATTGCGGGTTACCAATTGTTCCATACGGATAGGCAAACCAGGAAAGGAGGCGGAGTTGCAATCTATGTTAGGGATAATCTGAAGTGTGAAATAAATAAAGAAATAAAAACTGAGAGGAATACAGAAACAATTTGGATAGAATTAAGCGACGGTAGGGAAAAATTAATCACAGGAGTAATATATAGACCTCCCAATCTTGATAGAGTCAATGAGCGACTTATCTGGGATGAAATGCGCAGGGCTTCCATACACAACAAAGTCTGTATAGTAGGCGACTTTAACCTTGGCCAAATAGATTCGACTGACCTTACGGGTAGCTCAGAATCAGAGGATTTTCTCGAGACGATCCAGGACTGTTTCCTAAGTCAACATATAACCGAACCCACACGGGGTAATAATATACTGGATTTAGTTCTGTCGAACAGAGAAAACCTCATTAGCAATGTCGAGGTAGGGAACGAACTTGCAAACAGCGATCACAAAGAAATTCGATTCCAGTTAGATTTTCAGGGCAGACATAAGGAAAATTCCACTAAAGTACCAGATTTCAGAAGGGCAAACTTTGACAGCTTAAAGAGGCAGCTGAGAGAGGGGGTGTCACGCTTGGCCGTGAACCTGACAGATGACTCGGACCTGATAACGACATCTGAGACTACCGAGTTCCACGTCAATTTAAATAATGAGTGACTTAATGCACAGAGGCAGAACATACCATACAAAAAACTCAGATCAGACAACAATGACCCTAAATGGATAAATAATTATATAAAGAACATCATTGGCCAAAGGAAGGCTATAGGTAGAAGGATAAAGCGTGGCGAAATTTACCTCCAGGATTATTATAAGATATTGGCGAGTAGAGTTAAAACCGAGATAAGAAAAGCCAAGAGGAATAATGAGGTAAGGATAGCAAGGGAGGCGAAGACAAACCCCAAAGGATTCTACCAAATGTAACAAACTAAAACACGAGAAAAGATTGGACCAATACGGTCAGATACCGGCGAGCTCACTGATAACGACGGAGAAATGAGCAATAATTTGAATAAATATTTTTCAACAGTTTTCACCACCGAAAATTTACACATGATACCCGAGGCACCGACTCTATTCAGAGATAGTGAAGAAAACAAATTAAGCGAGATAGTAGTGACTAGTAACGATGTTAGTAAGCAAATAGACAAACTAAAGCCTAATAAGTCACCTGGTCTCGATGAGATATTTGCCAGAGTATTAAAGGAATGTAAGGAAGAGCTTAGTATGCCCTTAGCTAAGTTGTTTAACATGTCCTTAAAAACAGGTGTAGTACCAGAATCCTGGAGGATAGCGAATGTAATACCGATTTTCAAGAAGGGGGATAGATCACTATCCTCTAACTATCGCCCAATCAGTCTAACATCAATAGTAGGCAAATTACTGGAAGCAATCATTTCAAACTCTATTCGAAATCACCTGGAGAAGCACAGATTGATCAATGATTCCCAGATTCCTGGCATGGCTTCACAAGCGGACGTTCTTGTCTAACTAATCTATTAACATTCTTTTCATCAGTTTTCGAATCGGAGGACGAGGGGCACAATTATGATGTGGTATATCTCGACTTTAGCAAAGCCTTCGACAGAGTCCCCCACGAAAGACTAATTAGAAAGGTAGAAGCTCATGGCATCAAAGGTAACATCCTTAAATGGATTAGGGCGTGGTTACAGGACAGGAAACAGCGAGTGAGCATTAACCGCACCAAGTCCCATTGGAGCAACGTCACAAGTGGAGTTCCCCAAGGCTCAGTACTTGGACCATTATTATTTATTATATACATAAACGACATAGATATCGGCATAGACAGCAACATAAGTAATTTTGCTGATGACACTAAAATAGGAAGTGTTATTAAATCTGACGAGGACTCGGCAAAACTACAGGAAGATCTAAACAAATTTTTCGAATGGTCTGAAAAATGGCAGATGAAATTCAACCTGGACAAATGTAAAGTACTCAGTATAGGAGATGTAAACAGGGAAACCAGATACCAGATGAACAACGATGCCATAGAGAAATCCGACTGCAAGAGAGATTTAGGAGTAATGATAAGTAGGAACCTTAAGCTAAGTAAACAATGTGTTTTTGCTCGTAACAAGGCTAATAAAGTACTTGGGTTCATACAAAGGAGTGTTAGTTACAAGACTAGCGAGGTCATCCTAAAACTGTATCTTGCTCTTGTGAGACCACACCTGGATTATGCAATTCAGTTCTGGTCACCGTATTACAGAATGGATATAGAATCATTGGAAAGAATTCGGAGGAGAATGACAAGACTAATCCCGGGCATTAGGAACCTTGAGTATAGAGACAGGTTAAAGCACCTTAATTTGCACCCCCTCGAGAGACGTAGAGCGAGGGGCGACCTGATAGAGGTGTATAAGTGGAAGTCAGGGCTAAACAAAGGGGACATTACAAAGGTACTCAAACTATCCAACGAGGAGCGAACAAGTAACAATGGTTTTAAATTAGACAAATTTAGATTTAGGCGTGAAATAGGTAAACACTTGTTTGGAAACAGAGTTGTGGATGAATGGAACAAGTTACCAAATATCATCATTAACTCGAATACGCTGGATAGCTTCAAACATAGGTTGGATGCTTATATGAGCAATAGGGGTTGGGTGTAAACGGGACTGCCCAGTATGAGCCAATAGGCCCGCTGCAGTTTCCTCCAGTCTTATGTTCTTTTGTTCTTATGTATTCATTCAGGTGTGTCCGAGAGTCAGTGTCGAGTAACGTAAAACATAATGTGTTAGTACCCCGATATAATAGTGATATGAATGTGTCCATGTCACTGAGTGAATTAATAAATAGTTGTATCGAAGAG